TTACCTATGTTTCCACACCCAAGGATCTAATATACATTGTAATTTCTCGTCATTTTCAGTGAGCCACTGGCAACGGACTGACCTCATTCAGACAGACCTCTATCTGGCTTTGAATTTACCCTGTCCTTCCCCATAGACTTATCACAGGACTTCTAGAAATCTTCCCTGCCTAGAATCCTGCAGCCTCCTCCTCAGTCCCTGTGTAGGGCAACAGTTTGGAGAATTGCTGTTTAGAGCTGGAAGCTTCTGCTCTCCTCTCCTACTTCAGTTTTATCTTCTCTAACGAACTTCCCATACTCTCTCTCCACTTCACTTTCACACTCTGCACAGTGGGTACTTTGGGCCTTGTCCTACATTGTTTCAACTGTCTTCTCTTCTTCCCTTTCCTCTTTTACTAGTCATTGGCTTTAAAAGGGAGATGCGTTAACAGAGAGGACCCAGCCCCATGCTGACCCCAAACCGTTAGCTCAGCACAACTGGAAGAGCCAGGACCAGGCACAGAGGCTGGTTACTTGAGCCCTGAAGCTCAGGCCTCCAGTATCCCATGAATTAGGACCAGGATCTCTCCCCCGTCAGGTTGGCAAAAATGTAATTATAGAAACTGTGCAAAGATGTAAGGAAACAGCTTCTTCGTAGCTGCTGCTGGGCGCACCCGGTGGCGCTGGGGTCTCCCTGGGGAGAGCCATATGGCAATGGAGAAACAAAATCAAGCCTACAATGTGGTGAGGTCATTGCTGGGTCTGTTTCCTAGAGAAGCATCCCCACAGGACCACAAAGAGACACACCCGGAAATGCTCACTACAGTATCGCTTGTGAGCGTGAAAAATCAGAAAAAGCTTAAGGGTCAATCAGTGGAGGAATGGAAAATAAATTATGATATAGTTGCTTCTGGAATATTAAGCATGTGTTAAGAGGAATTAACTTGATCTACATGTAACAACATGGATAAGTCTAAAATACAGAATAATGAATGATAAATACAAAGACATCTAAGTAATTTTCAAAACACAAAAAATAATATATTGTTTACAACTACGAATACACACAGGAGGTGTTATAAAATGTGGATAGAGGTCAGGCGCAGTGGCTCACACCTGTAATGCCAGCACTTTGAGAGGCCGAGGTGGGCGGACCACGAGGTCAGGCAATCGAGACCATCCTGGCTAACATGGTGAAACCCTGTCTCTCCTAAAAACACAAAAAATTAGCCAGGCATGCTGGTATGCACCTGAGGTCCCAGCTACTCAGGAGGCTGAGGTAGGAGAATCACAGGAACCCGGGAGTGGGCCAAGATCGCAACCACTGCACTCCAGCCTGGGCGACAGAGCGAGACTACATGTCAAAAAAAAAAAAAAAAAAAAAAAGTGGATAGAAAAAAATAAACATAGACAATTCAGGACAAGTGGTTGCCCTAGGGAGACATAAAAAGGGATTTAAATGTTATCAAAAGTATGTTCTTTCACATGCATGCACGCGCATACACACACACACACGTTTTAAATTATGAAGCGTAGCATACATTCAGCAATTAGTTATTGAATTCCTACTCTGTGCTAGGCAGTATTTAGATGCCTAGAATGATTTTATGAAGAAAACAGATAAAAAATTTTTGTACTTTTGAAATTGACATTCTAATGAGGGAGACCTGACATACGATGAATCTATAAATAGGAAACATATACATTACATGATGCTGTCTGACAGGAAGACCTGGAAGAAAGGAGGCCTGGGGGTTGGGAGAGGCTGCAGTATCAGTGATGGGAAAGGCCTGCAGGTGGGACCTGCCTGAGGAGCACGCCCGGCAGAGGACACTGCACAGGGCAGAGGGTACAGCACTGGGGATGGTGCAGCTGAGCAGAGAGTGAGAGAAAAGTGAAGGAGGGGAGCAGACAGTGTGGGTCTGACGGAATGCCAGCACTTGGGCCTAAAAAGAATCACTCTGCTGGGCTGAGATGAGACTTGGCGGGTAGGCGGGGATCAGGGCAGGAGCAGAGGGGCTGGTGGCAACCTCAGCAACAGACGATGGGCCTGGGTGTCAGAGAGGAGGGGACGAGGCGTGGACAGACTCTGGGAGAACCTGGCAGGGAAGGCCAGTAGTGTTTCTGGTGGGGTGGATGTGGATGTGGAGGAGGGGTCAGAGAGGACTCCTGGGGTTTTGCCTGCAAGTAGAAGGATGGAGCTGCCATTTACTGGGATGCGGAGAATGAGGGAGCACCAGTCTGTTCAGGGAAGATAGGAGCTCAGCTCTGGGAATGTTTAGGGGTAAGTCTATAAAACACTCACGTGGAGATGCAGGCCAGGCGGCTGGGTATGAGGAATTTGGGGCAAAGGTCCAGGTTTGAGGCACACATTCCTAGATGGTACATGTGGCCCCAAGACCCTGGGGGACAAAACACAGGAGCGGAGAGAGGGTGTGAGGAAACACAAGTTGTGGAGAAGGGGTGTGAGCACCAAGGGCGCTCTGGGGCCAACAGACCCCACAGGACAATAGGAACCAGCAAAGAAAGATCAGTGAAGGTGGGTGGCAGGTGGGAATACAGTGAGCAATGCGGCAAGTGTTACAAACAGGCCAAGAAAAACAGACCTTTCAGCACCATGGCGGGCCCTGGTAACTGAGGTTGGAGAGGTTTTGGTGGAAGCCGTGAGAGAAGAGGAGAGAAGTGCAGATGTTCCCGAGGGGCTTTGCACAAAGGGGAGCGGAGAAGCGGGCAGTGGCTGCAGGGGTAGGGGTCAAGGCAGGATTGCTTGTGTTGCTCTGGAGAAGGTGTCATGGGTTGGGATGCAGCGCCACGTGGAAGTACAGCTTTGGCCAGAGAATCAACAGTTCAGCAGTCACAGGAGTGAAGGCAGAGAAGGGCGCACAGGTGCAGGCAGATGGCATGGGGAGGGCTGTGTGAGTGGTGTATTTCTCTTTAATTTAAAAAAGGGGGTTAAAATATAAAACTGTTCTCAGGCGTGCCCCATACAGAAACAGATAAGCTACGTTTGGTCCTCAGCCACAGTTTGGCGGCCCCCGGGCTAGGGAGATGCAGTATGACTGTGTGGCAGAGCACCCACTGAAGTTGCTGGTTGTGGATGTCACATGACACCAGCAGCCAGCTTGCCTGGTTCTCTGCAGCCACGTGCAGCTGCTTGGCTGCAGATGCAGAGCACTGATGGATTTCACCAGGTGGATGCAATGAACAGAAGGGAAGGGCACTGAGGCTGTGTGCAAGCCAGGAATACAATGGTGGGCATGGAGGGAGATGATGAGCAAGGCAGTGAAAAGGCAGCAAGATCGATGGCCTGCAGGTCTTGAAGGGCTGGAAAAATGCTGGAATCAGGACACCAGACAGGGAGCTGGAGGGGTGATGGGAGGCAGCCAGGGAGTGGTGTGCTGGAGATGGAGAGGGTCGGGGAGGAGGGTGCAGTCGCTGTCATCAGAGTCATGGATGGCCATGGGGCAGGGGAAGGGGGAACAGAACTATCTGCATGGAGGCTGCCATGGCCACGACTGAGAGCAGGAAGAATGACAAGAGAGGGAAGGTCTGCAGAGGCAGCAAAAATACGAGAAATGAGACCCAGAGGCAGGGTCTCTAGAGAGGGAGTGAGGGTAGCAGCGGTGCAATCATGAGGGGTGAGGACCCTGTCCCCAGTAGGCCAGGGCTGAGGGAGGCGGGGAAGAGGACGGCCGCAGTTCCCTGGAGCTCCGTCCGAGCAGGGAACACTCAGGACCTGGCAGGTCTGCTGAGCCCTGAGTCCCATAAGGCTCAGTGGAGGGGTATGCAGGAGGTGAGAAGGGCAGGTGAGGTCTCACAAGGGGATGGGCCAGGCCAAACATGGCAAGGGATGAGCTGTGATTCCTGGTTTCTTGGACAAAGAGGACAGGGATAAGGGCCACACAGGATCCCTGCTGACAGGCTCAAGGTGCACAGTGGAGTTTGTCTCTACTCACCTTGTCTACTGGTGGGTAGAGGCCACGGATGCTGCTGAACATCGTACGATGCAGACAGAGTGTGGCAGGGTCTTACCCGCAACGAACGTAATTTGGGGGGACTTCTTTACTTGCATTTAATGATGACGTGGAAGCAAGGGAAGCCTCCACACACAGTGTAAACACAACGAAACCCACCCACTCAGAACCTCCCACCCAGGCTAGGAGGCTGGATACGCCTGGGTTGTAACCCTCTTTTCCAGCCTGACGCTATCTGTTCTCAGCCATCTTTCTGTCCTCTAGTGCTCAGCATTGTCCTTGACACCTAGAATATTCTCAAAATGTATCTGTGGAACTAAATTGCAAATGTCCTGATGACGACTGGCAAAGTGGCCAGCTCTGAACATGCTTCTGCCCTTAGGAAAGTGCCAATCTAATTGAGATGAGATGACAAACATGGAAGACACATTTAATTTCACACAAGTGGAGCACAGGGGGCCCCTGCGTAACACCACCTTTCACAGTGTCAGACGAAAGGGAAAACCAAGGCAGGTGCGACGGTCAAGGGCAGGTCTTCTGGAGGAATCGGGGTCTAGCCTGCCAGAGGTGTGGTCTCCCTGGTCAAATGACCCAGCAGGTCTTCACTTCACTTTAGGAATTTCATTTTTCTCCTGTGTCCACCTGTCTTTCTCTGAACTTTCAAAGGTGCTGAGTAGCTCCAGGGAAATCTGAGAAACTGATATCTGGTAACCAGATTCACCTTAAATAAATATGTGCTTCTAATCAACCGAACCATACGGCTGACCAATGGGTGTATGTTCTACAACTGCTACTGCTTTAAATTCAGGTTGAAGACAGGCGCAGTGGCTCATACCTGTAATCCCAGCACTTTGGGTGGCTGAGGCGGACAGTTGGCCTAAGATTAGGAGTTCAAGACGAGCCTGGCCAACATGGTGAAACCCTGAGTCTAAAAAACTACAAAAATTAGCTGGGCATGATGGCAGGTACCAGTAATCCCAGCTACCTGGGAAGCTGAGGCAAAAGAATTGCTTAAACCCAGGAGATAGAGATCACAGTGAACCAAGACAGCACCACTGCACTCCAGCCTGGGTGACAGAGGGAGACTTCATCTCAAATAAAAATAAATACATTAATTCATCAATTAATTAAGATTGGTTCTCACAGGCAAGGCTGACTCTCTGCAAAGCTTTGAATTAATCTTGGTTTCAATACACAGCTGACCCTTGAAAAACATGGTTTTGAACTATGCAGGCCCACTGATAAGTGAATTTCCTTCTCCTCTGCCACCCCTGAGACAGCAAGAACAACCCCTCCTCTCCCTCCTCAGCCTACTCAGTCTGAAGATGACGCTGAGGATGATGACGTTATCATGACCCACCTCCACTTAATGAGTAGTAAATATATTTCCTTTTCCTTATTTTCCTAATAATTTTTCTGTAGCTTATTTAAAGTATACAATACATAGTAACTAGGACATATAAAATATGTGTTATTGACTATACATAGTATCATTAAGGCTTCTGGTCAACAGGAGACTATTAGCAGTTAACTTTCTGGTGAGTCAAAAGTTAGACATAGACCTTGGGCTGTGTGCAATTGGGGTCTGTCGCCCCTGGCCCGTGTTGTTCAAGTCAACTATTCTCCTGCCTTCCCTCTCAGTGTCCTCCTCTCCCTCCCATCATCTGTGCCCTGGCTTTGTCTCTTCCTAAAAGAGTAGGTTTGCCACCTGTTTCCCTGATAGAAAGTGTTCGTTTCTGGAGCATTAGCTGAGTAAGTCAGAGGTTAAAACTCCACTATAAAAAAACTCAGACTAAAAACAAGTAGGTTTGATGTGTTTCCTCAGCCCTCTCTGGAAAGATCGCACCGTTCCTGGCCTTTCCGTCTGTCTCCCGCAGATCACCTGATGCCTCCCTGGCCTTCTCCCAGCCCTTACCTGGACTGGGGTCCACAGGAACATCTGGAATCTTGGGGCCGGGGCGGCGCCAGCTGCAGGGCTCCTTTCCTTGTTCAATCTGGGAGAGGACCTCAGGCTTGGAGATGGCGTAGTCTGAAGAAAGACAGAAGGTTAGTTTTTGCCTCGTTCCAGTCAGAGCTGGAGAGAGTCAGCCCAGAAAACCAACAATGGTCTAGAAAGGAAATCTCTTGATTGTCATAGAGCAGGAGCTCTCAGACACAGGCAGTTTTGCTCCCAGGGGACGTTCGGCAAAGTCTGGACACAATTCTGATTGCTGTGCCCAGGGCTTGGGGAGAGGTGACTGGCATCTGGGGGGTAGAGGCCAGGGCTGCTGCTGAACATCCTACAATGCAGAGGATGGCCCCGACACAGAATCACCGGGTCCCAAATGTCAGCAGTGCCAGAGTGAGGAAACTGCCACAGAGCGTGCATGTGAAACAGCAGCACACTTGTGCTGACGAAATGTCACCTCACGACTGCACCTGCTCCCGTCCTCTCTATCAGGCCTCACTGCCCTCAGCTCCGGGGTCACACAGAAACCATCAGGAAGAGGAAATCAGCCCAGGAAGAAACAGGGTCCAGGCCCTTCCTGGGCAGGATCAAATGAGGAGAGCAGCAGTAGCCCCAGGGGTTGAGGGAAGCAGAGTTTTGAGGCATGAAGAAAATGTCTGCTGCAAGCAGCACCGTCTGCCCATGTTCTCCACTGACCTCGAGGCATGTCGCCGTAAGGGCCACGCATCTCTGTAGAAGGCTGAAAGAAAGAGTCTTTCTCAAATGTGAGTGGATTACATACTAGATCTGAGAGCAGGAGGGGCCTTCCCTGCTCCAAGTCAGCACCAACAGAAAGGTCCACACCCTGCGCCTGCGGAGAAGAGATGCCACCGCCTTTCCCAGCCTGGCATTCTGGGAAACTCAACACAGAGGGGAGCTTTTGATTCCATCACCCAGGGCTCATCTTTCACAGCAGGTAACAACTTGCAAGGTCAACAACGTTTCTGGTGATTCACATATCACTGCCATGAAACAACTATGTGGACAGAGAAGTTTGAGGACTTGCAAAATCCCATTTAACAGAGAAATGAGTGTCAGGCCTTACCCAGGGAGACCAGCGTCTCGTAGTTGCCCCTCATCACATGCTTGTAGAGCTCCTTCTGCCAGTCCTCCAGCTTGCCCCACTCCTGCTCGGAGAAATACACGGCCACATCATCAAAGGTCACGGGCACCTGGAACCACAAGTGTCGCACTCATTCACCCACACGCTCACAGGCTCAGCCCCTCAGGCTCCCACACCCCAGGGCGTCCCAGGGCTACCTTGGGGGTCTCCCCCTTGCTGCCCGAGGGCAGTCGCAGGATCCAGAAGTTCCTGCTGGGCTCCAGCTGCCTCTGCAGCAGCTCCTACTCCCACACGGCCTTGCCCTCAGCTGGTTCCCGAACTCCACAGCTGTTTTCTCGCTGTTGGCCAGCTTCTTCTCAGCCATCCCGGTTTGACCTTCTAAGGAAAGCAGGCGAGCAGCCTGCGATTCAATCTTCCTCTCCATGGCCTGAATCGTGGCTGCCATTGTCCACGGAGAAATCTTTCAGAAACAGAAGAGAAACAGCATCATTCATTCCACCCACTGTCTTCATTGATCCCCTCTCTCCCTAAGCACAGGGGAGCTGGGCTGGGAGCCCATATGTATGGACAAGTGGGGCCATCCTGTACCACATGCCAGATCTCAAGTTGGCAGTCACTGCTTGGGTATCTTAGGGCTATGTCCGGGTGGGTGCCCTTGCTCCAGGCCTCTGCAGCACAATGCAGACCTTTATCGTGGTGCTTACCACCCTACACAGTAATTTCCTCCCCACACCTACATTGTGGGCTCCCTGAGCATGGTATTGCATCTTTTCACACCACAGTCCTTGACACATGGTGGGTACCCAGTGCAATCTTGCTATGTAAACAGTGACTTAGCATTGCTCAGCATTTTAGTGGAGAAATGGTAAACTGCAGATTTACTAGAGCCCAGCCTGCCCCTCCTGTCTTCATTACACAGGAACTGACTACTGATGACCCAGCAAAAAAAAATAGCTGGTTCACTGAAACAGCGCAAAGAAGAGTATTGCTCAATATTTTTATTTTAAAGCATTTCATGTCCTCTGTTAATAAACATAAAAATCTAATGGCCAGTTCCTCTTCCCCCAGGACAGTCTCATTTTGTCCCCTTCCCATCTGCCCCTCCCCCACAAGATAAAATCCCCATGACTGCAAACCTCCATTGGCCAGTTAGGTTTTTTGACACTGCATGAGCCCCACAAGATTCTTTCTCTTTCCCACTTCCCACCCCTCTCAAGGTTAAAACGATGGCCTCAGACATGTTTGTAGCCGCCCCAGGGGCAGTAACATGCCCTACAGTCTGGTGAGAAAAATTGACATATGTCACAAAGTTACACTTACATATGGGCAATAACCATCTTAATTAGAGACAAGGGGCTTCCCTGTCATGGGAAACATTCACATGGCATATTAGTGACCAGCAGCTGGTGACAAGGAAGAATAGGCACATTTTGCCTAAGGTGGCAAGCTAGACTACTTGAGCCACCCAGATCTGAAGGTGAGACCTACAGGGTAGAGAGGAGCTCCCGGTATCCATGCCCAAAGATTGACGCCTCCTTAGAACGTTCTGCAAAATAATCCCTCAACTAGAGATTGGTGACTATTCGCAAAATGAAGAAGTGGCTACTAGAAACCAGTGTGGATTCACTTAGAGAAAGTCACTGAGAACTAGAATGTAAACGGATACCTCAAAAAACAGAGACAAAATGAGTTTCAGCAGAGGCCCAAAAAAACTTGTCCAGGACAGTGGTCAAAAGCCTGTCTGGCTGTTTGGAAGGAAGCAGGATCCAAAGCAAGAAGGTAGGACTCTAAGGGGTCTTCAAGGCTAGGTCTGGACAGGCAGAACTGTTTCTAGGCAAAAACCCAGATGTGGGTGGGGGTCTTGCTCTCAAAGAGTAGGTCCCACAGGCACCTGGGTGGGCTGACTTGGTTCTGGGCTTGAGTCTGCCCTCCACCTAAGGCCACTGTTCCTTCCCTCGCCTCTCCTTTCTCAGATCAATCCCTGTCAAGTGATCCCAGACTCCAAGAGTTTACTCCAGAAGCATCCTTGCACCTGGTCACCAGCTCCCCATCCACTGAAATCCTACCCATCCACCAAGTGCATTATTACAGTCTTTGTATGGCATGAAAGGGACCTCTGCAAAAACTCCTTTATCAGGAAAATATTCATCTTTTACACGTGGACAACAGGATGCACGGTTTTCTTACAACTGTGATGGGGCCAGGAAGCCCTGGGTGAGGCCTTCACGCTATGTGGTGGGAGGTGGCGACTGTGCGCTGCCCATTCCAGTCCAGCTTCTTACTGACTGGTGGCTGGAATATGTGGGGCTGTCCTTAGACTCCTGCCAGGAGAGCCCAAACTCTTTGCTTGAGAGAAGCTGATGGTAAGAGGAGCCAGATCCCTCACCCGCTGCCCACCCGCAGGATCAAGTCCCGGCATGCAGGCCCCTTCCCAGTCTCCGCAGCCACCTCTCCCACTGCCTCCAAACCAAAAGCGTCTTCTCCAGGCTCATGGGACTCCATTCTGTTCCTGTGTTGCAGAATATTCAGGAGACTGGACAGACCAATAGATGAAACAGGAGGATTTTATTAAGGTAGCCACAGGCTCAGCGGATTAGCATCCCAAGGCTGAGCGCCTAACAAAGACAGGGCTTGACTTTTTTAGACATGTAAGATGACTTAGCAGTTAACAGGTTTACAGAAGCCAGAACAAAGAACAGTTAATTAATCTGTAACATGTCTTGTGATGTATGTTACATTTGAAAATAGCATTTTGAGAAACACAATGTACATTCTTTGGGTGTTATCTTGCCCTGTGACCTTGCAGCTGGTCAGCAAGAAAAACAGGAGTCTTGAGGTGCCTGGGAACTTTGCTGAGAATGTGGGGAGAATAGATAAGGTAGGTTTTACAGGGAGTTAATTTCCGGCAGAGCTAGGGGTTAGATTTTATATCGAATACAGCACAGTAAACTTTATTATGCAGCAATTACAGCTATTATTATTATTGTTTAATTTCCCTCTTCACCTGAACACGCCCTGCTCTGTTCCGTCTCTCTGCCCCTTTGCCCAGGCAATCCTCCCTCCCTGAAAGCTCCACCGGTCTAGCTCGACCTCATGAAATCCTAGCCTCCTCTAAAAGCCCGGCTCAAATCAGAGGCGCAGAGCATCACGCCAGGAGGGGTGAGCAGCGGTACCAGGCGCCCCCTGACGCTCCTTCCCCTGCAGCCCACCACTTGGCGTGGGGTGGCCCCGGCGCGGGGACAACCGTTCTGCCGGCGCTCGGGCTCGGCCTGGAGTTGGGGGGCCCGGCTGGCAAGAGCAGTAGGTCCCCCGGCGGCCCCCGCACCCCGTTCCCCGGAGCCCCAAGGGCGGTATTACTGCCAGGCCGCCCCGGGCCCCCAAGCCGCGCCCAGGTCGCCCTTACCTGAGCCGCAGCCCCGCCGCCGGCGTGTGCGGCCCCAGGCCCGACCTCCCCGTGCTCTCCGCAGGCGGCGCCCGCCCCGCCCTGCCTCCGCCGCCGCTCCTCCCTGGCAGCAACTGCCCCGCGCAGCTGGCAGTCGCGCCGCCGCCTTCAGCGCCCGGCGGGTCCACACTGCATGCTGGGAGCCGGCGCCGGGGCCTGCAGACGAAGGCACGTGCGGTTTCCTGGAGGCAGCGCAGCCACACAGCCCCACCTGCAGCACAGGAGGCGAACGGCAGGCACGGAGTCTGCCCGCTACCAGGAGCCGAACCCGCGACCCCCGGCCGACCCCTCGCCCCCTCCCCGACTGCCGGGTTCCCGCGCACAGTCACTGCGTTGGCCCCGCGACCCAAGCCGAGTGACTTGGTTACCAAAAGAGTCCCCCTCATGGGACCGCCTGGCCGCGTCCACGGGCGAGCAGAGTCCTCCGGGCAGGGCGCCCCCGGGGGTGACCGCGGCAAGGGGACCGCTCCCTGGTCCCGCTGGGTCCCGGCGCGCCCGAACAAGCACTTCTGCCGCTGGAGGTCCTGGGCCTGGAGGTTCGGGCTCTTTGTTGTGGGGGTCAGCTGTAGCTCACCCCATCTGTGTTTGAAATGGAATATTTCCAACAATAGGAAGGAATATATTCGGTAAACCCGGTAGACACCATGTAGCATTTTCTACCATGTATTTATTAGAGTAAATATTTTTAATGGCATGAACAGTGGAACGCAATACCACTACTGAACATTATTTTGGGGAAGAACTTGGTATGGACAGATGTTCATGATATTTTAAGAGAAAAAGCCTGTCCAGAACGATCCTGTCATTGTTTTAAAATTATGACATCATGTAGCATTATGTACTGTGTACATGCATATCTATAGTTTTGAAAGTTTGGAAGCATACATATATCAACATGGACAAAATAGTTTAATAGACCACAGGCCGTTTTTATGCATTTTCTAAGTTATGTTTTAATTTTTCAATAACAAGGATAGTATTTTTAAACAAGGAGAGAAAAATAAAAATTTAAAAGTCCTTAAGAGACTGGGGATGGAGGGCGCCTTGGACGGGGGCTCCCACGTGGTTACAGAGGCGCATTGCTTTTCAGACTCCTGGGCTGAGTGAGGCTCTTTCCAGCGCGAGAACCTGCGCCACCTGGTGCGGAGTCTACGGGATTTGCCGGGCCTAGGGACCGGGATCCGAACATTGTCCCTTAGTTTCTCTTCATCGGCGTGGGCTGAACATACATCTCGGGCATCATCCGGGTTGCATGCTTGTTTGTGTATAAAAATGGAATTGCCCCAAGAGTCACGTGGGGGAAGACCTGACTCACCGTGGTGCCAATGCTCCTGCATCCGACTTTCTTCTTCTGGTCACAGACAAAACCTAGCTGTTTTCTGATGCCTCACATCTCTCACCGATTGCCCCTCAAATGACGGGGTTCAGGGATTTCCTTCCCGGAGCCCCTGGCATCATTTTGTCTTTTGGAGTAAATCCCGCAAAGGGTAAAATCACCCTACTCACTCCATGAGCTGTAGTACACCTGCCCCAGGGTTTTCCTGTTTTTTCCCTTCAGCTCTTCCACATGATTCCTTCCCCTGTGAGTAACACATCTCCGCTGATGAAGGTGGATCCATGTTTTATGGGTCTGAAGCTTGTGTAATCTGGGAGAACATGGTTAAGAAGAAGCCCCTCAATGTGGCAGGAGCGGCTGCGAGAAACAAAGCTCCCGGACACCTAACGGGAAGGAAGGGGTTTATTATCATTATTATTATTATTATCACGGCCAGGAGCCGGGCGATGATTTGTCTAAACCCAGCTCGTCTAACAAAGAGAGGCTGCCTTTATATAGGCTTACACTCTAGATATTACACATGAAAGAATCTTAGGTTTACAGCCTTAGAAAATGGGTTTTGGATTTACAGCTTTAGGAATCGCACGTGAAAATGTTCTGGTCTCCTGATGGAGGAGTGGGGTGGGGGTTTGATCTTGTTTAAGTAAAAACAGTGTCTTCCAGAGAGTTTCCCTAATACCAAGCTTGCTATTTACAGGAAGGTGATTCAGGAGGCGCCAGTGGCCAGCCTCTTCTTCTATCGGAATGCAGTGTGGAAGTCAAGGGGGAGTTGATCCCAGATGTCTGGGTGTTCTTCCTCAGCAAAATTACAAATTTAGGAGGAGGCATAGAGCTGGTGCGGGGCGGGGCGGGGGGGGGGGCACTCTGAGCTTCCTTAGCTTCATTGTAATGTTCTGGATTTAAAAAAAAGAAAAAGCCAGAGGGACATCAGAACACACTCAAGCCTTGTCTAGGCTGGAACATGAGCACCAGGGATATTGTGGGGGGAACTGGGAGTCAGGAGACCTGTCAGTTCTGTCATTAACCGGTGGAGATCCTTGGGCAAGTCAGCACTTGCTTCACATGTAAAATGAGGAGATTGGACTAGATCATTCTGCATGTGTCCCTGAGTCCAGCCTTCCTTTCTTTTTTTTTTTTTTTTTTTTTTGAGACGGAGTTTCACTCATGTTACCCAGGCTGGAGTGCAATGGCGCGATCTCGGCTCACCACAACCTCCGCCTCCTGGGTTCAGGCAATTCTCCTGCCTCAACCTCCTGAGTAGCTGGGATTACAGGCACGCACCACCATGCCCAGCTAATTTTTTGTATTTTTAGTAGAGACGGGGTTTCAACATGTTGACCTGGATGGTCTCGATCTCTTGACCTCGTGATCCACCCGCCTCGGCCTCCCAAAGTGCTGGGATTACAGGCTTGAGCCACCGTGCCCGGCCCCCAGCCTTCCTTTCATCACTTGATAGGGACCCTGTAGAAGACCACTGCTTCCTCTATCACTGTGGCCTTTTTGCAGGTCACTCTGCATGATAATTTACTTCTGTTATCAAGACTGAAGACGGATCAGCTGCAAACAGACCTCTTGAACATGGAACAGGGAAGCAAATGGTGATTTATTTGGCCAGGAGCTGCAGCAGGTGAAAATACCTTAACAACAGAGCTCCCTGACAAAGAAAATCCTTGCCCTTTTGAAAGCTTACAGTCCTAGAAATTACATGTGAAAGGGTCTTGATCCATGAAGTAAGCATAGAGTATGTGACTAGGTGGGGGTTTGATTGTGTTTAAGCAAAAACAATGCCTTCCCAAAAGATTTATCCATAGTATGCATGCCATCTATAGGAGGGCGATTAAGGGTGGCACCCACTCTGGTAGGCTTTACGTCTCCTATTGAAATGCAATGTAGAAGTCAAAGGGGAAGTGGTCTTAGAAGCTTAAGAGGATTAAGGGTCACCTTCCTCAAAGACAACATGTTGGTCAGTCCCTGCCATGTTGCCTGGAAGTGCTACTCCAGGATTGCCTTGGAAAAGGGGACTTATTCCTGTTTGAGGAGACAGAGATGTTACATCCATGGCAATATGACTCCTAGGGAACTAGGGCTTACATGGTGTGTCCTGAAGGACATGAGCAGTGGGGCAAAGTGCAGTCTGGACTTAAGTGTCCATCTGTGTTCCTTGAAGGAATTCAACATCATTATAGAAATCACTGTGAAAATCAGGGTTTTCCCAGGCCCTCGGACCAGGAGTGGAGAGGACTGGCTGGCTGATGGCTGCCTTCTGAGTAGGCTGCCAGGGCTACAAGGCAAAGGCCTGTGGGTAAAGGAAAAAATTCCTGTAGGAGGGAAAGGCAGTTCGCAGAAGGGACAGTTTACAAGCCCCTGTGACAAGAGCAGAGGTGGGCCTTGGTAAAGCTAAGGAAATGAAAAGGACCTAACCCAAGTGTTACTCCGCGTGTTCCATCTAGATGGGACAGGGCTCTGTCTGCCATCACAAGAGGTCACGCGGAAGGCTGGACACAGTGGCTCATGCCTGTCATCCCAGCACTTTGAGAGGCCAAGGCAGGAGGATTGTTTGAGGCTAGGAGTTTGAGACCAGCCTGGGCAACATAGTGAGATGTCTTGCCGGGCGCGGTGGCTCATGCCTGTAATCCTAGGACTTTGGGAGGCCGAGGTGGGTGGATCACCTGAGGTCAGGAGTTCAAGACCAGCCTAGCCATCGTGGTGAAACCCCATCTTTATAAAAAAAAGAAATACATTTTTTTTGGGGGGGGGTGAGGGGCATGATGGCTCAAGCCTGTAATCCTAGCACTTTGGGAGGCCAAGGTGGGTGGATCACCTGAGGTCAGGAGTTCAAGACCAGCCTGGCCATCATGGTGAAACTCCATCTTTAAAAAAAAAAAAAAAGGAGATGCCTTCTCTACAATACAATAAAATGAAATATATTAGCTGGGCATGGTAGCACACACCTGTGGTCCCAGTTAGTTGGGAGGCTGAGGCGGGAGGATTGCTTGAGCCCAGGAGTTGAAGGCTGCAGTGAGCTATGATTGTTTCACTGCACTCCAGCCTGGGTAACAGTACAATACCCTGTTGTTTAAAAATGTTGTTTTAAAAAAAAAAAAAAAAAAAAAAGAAAGACTCAAGTGGCATTGTTCTCTAGCAACATATTTTGGTCCTTAAACCTAGGTTAACATTGGCCCTTTTAAGGCTTTTGTGGATTCCAAAATCTACTCAGCTACCCAAATCTCACTATTTCTTGGAGTCATTCCTTCTCCATCCTTCTCCATGGATATTAACTGAAGAGGTGGAAGTTGGAAGAATCATCTTTTGTCCTAGATTATAGTTCTGTTGAAAATGCCCTGAATGGAGTACTCGGCTAGGAGAGCCAGCCCAACTCTGTCATTAGTGTGTTAGAACAGACACCTCAGTCACACAGTTTCTCCTGTATGTGCCCACCATGACAGGCGCTGGATGTTGACTCTGAAGGCCATTCTAGTAGCCAGTGGCAGTGCTTTTCCAGGCTGCTGCCCCCAACCAAGGACTCAAGGCAGGGAAGACACAGGCTCTGGGGTATTTGAGGAGGGGGACTGCCTCTTGTTATGCACAAGGTCAGTGAGTTTTCACTCAGGCGGGTCTGGCAGCTCCTAGGAGCTTCCATTGTGAAGTGGCAACTCATAGGTTACAGGTAGTCTGGGTGTGACGGTACAAGTCAAAGACATTAATTAACCCACACACTAGTAGGATGGGGTATGGCTCAGGGGTAGAGTACTGGACTGCAGGTTAATGAGACACCAGTTCAGATCCAGATAACCCCTCTGCATTTTCAGTTTTGACATTTTAAATAGGTGCCTATGTTTTAACTTCTTTTTTATTAGACACTAGGGTAAAGATTTCATTTTTTTTCTGAAACCAGCAAATGTTGAGGCTAGAATGTGGTGGTTTTATACATGTTAGGGAGACATGAGACATCAATCAATGTGTGTGAGATGTACATTGGTTCAGTCCGGAAAGGTGGGACACCTCAAGGTAAGTGCAGGACAACTGGAAGTGAGGAGGGGTCTTCCAGGTCACAGGTAGATGAGAGACAAATGGTTACATTCTTTTGAGTTTCTGATGAGCCTTTCCAAAGGAGGCAATCAGAATGCATTTATCTCAGTGATCAGAGGGGTGACTTTGGATAAAATGGGAGGCAGATTTGCCCTAAACAGTTCCCAGGTTGACTTTTCCCTTCAGCTAGGTGATTTAGGGGCCCCAAGATTTATTTTCCTTTCACACTTATGAGTACAGCTCTTAAAACTAAACCTGGGGCCAGGTGCGGTGCCTCACGGCTGTAATCCCAGCACTTTGAGAGGCCGAGGCAGGCAGATCACAAGGTCAAGAGCTCAAGACCAGCCTGGCCAACATGGTGAAACAACACCTCTGCTGAGAATGCAAAAATTAGTCGGGCATGGCTGTGCGTGCCTGTAATCCCAGGTACTCGGGAGGCTGAGGCAGAAGAATCTCTTGAACCCGGGAGGTGGAGGTTGCAGTGAGCCAAGATTGTGCCACTGCACTCCAGCCTGGGCAACAGAGGGAGACTCTGTCTTGGAAAGAAAACAAAACAAGAAAATTGGACCTGAACAGCATCTTCTAGGAACAAAGTCTCAGCATTTCTTAGTTGTCTTAATTTATCTCCTTCTCCATCGAGGCATTCCCCCTGGGATGGGGATATTGTTCTTCTATTTCTAAGACAAACCACCAGGATCTATAGCTCAGTGAGTGAGCCCTTATAAGGCCAAGATAGATTGCAGAGGACAAAATGTCAACAGGTGAAAGTACAAATAAAGCTCTATGTTGTGTTTAGATTTTGTAACTATCAAAGGCAATTTTATGTCACATTGAAGCTTCAAAAGCAAACTTCTGCAGAAGGGTCAACCTTAACTATGGGTCTATTACTTAACTATTAACCGTGGTAATTATTTGATCTACTTCCTTCTATAGGGTACATATGTCCATAACAATATGCATGTATTTTATGTA